GCTAGTGATGTTTCAAGTGGTAAGATTATGAGCTTTAATAAGTAAAATTATCCCAGCTACAATGACAGACATTTATAGTATTACAACTAAAACCATTTTTGATGCCGCCACCGCAGTTTGTCCTTCATGAGCCTTCGTAGACAAGATGGCGGTGCAAGATGGCGGCTGCCTGTATTGGCGACCCACGGCCATGGAGATATAAACAGCTTTTTATAAGGTTAAAAATAATAAAACAAGGTCTTTGTCTGCAATGATTAGACATGTTTTTTTTATTATTGTCATTAGTGATTATCTCAATTTTGGCTAAAATAATTGACAAAATCCTACACACTGTACCTTTAAAGATAAATTAGCCTTTATTTCTCCTAACTTATGAGCCAGGACCAGACTCCACTACCCACACTGTGGCCTGGTTTGTGCAGCTGGTTTAAGGTTTCCTTTCTCCTCTTCACTAACTAAACAGTAAAGCAACTGCAGGAAGTAAAACGTGAAGGAATCAAGTGTTGCTTAATGGCCTCAAAACAGGTTGTAACTTTGCTTTTGGGCGCCAATCAAACCCCGTAAATGCAGATCATATCTCAAACTTTTTACTATTCTGGGTAACTTTTCTTACATTTTTGGTTCTTTTATTGCAACAGTTGCATCACTACATAAACTCAGCTACTTTTGTAAATACTTATTAAATGTTGTATCGCTTGCAGATTAGATGAACTTGCAGTGGCCTTGACTTTACAGGCATACTTTGGGGGTTGGAGCTGCATGTTCCAACAAGAGTGTTGCTGGGAATGATTGTGAGACGCTTACACTTTCATCACGCTATTATCACTGCGAGTTTTCATTCACTTTCTTCTTGTGATCTCAGGGAGTTAGCAGAAAGAACGAAGAAGCATGTAAGATAACACGATGCAAGGAGCCGCTTCACCAAAAATAGTGTTGGGTCTTTGCTTCTCGACAGTCACAATCAGACACTTTAATATGTGCAAAGCTCTGGTGGTCTCAGGGTTTGTCTGCACGATTGGGTGAAATTCCAAAAGTTGTGAAGTGATCTGGGTCTGAGCTACTTTTGAAGAAGCGCGTCGGGGAACATGAGGGTGGAAATCTACTGGTCAGACCAACACCCATTCAAAGAAACTACACCTATTAAATACGTTTTAACTTGAGTGCATCGTTGGAATCTGACAGAACCAGCTGCATCCAGTTAATATAAGTGACGCTCATTGCATTTTTCTTTGGGGGTGTGTTTTGTTTTCATGATGTTGGCTYGTTACTTAACTGTCTACAACAAATGACACATATTATTTATTTCCTTATTTGTTTTCAGATAGCACGTGTACTTCAGGGTTTTGACTCTTATCTGACTCATCCAGATGGGCTCTTCTAAATGTCCTTGAACTGTTGTGAACTGGTCGTGTGTTTAGCAAAAACTGTGTAATCATTTGTCGTTTACCTTTTCCTGAACTCGACAGGCCCCCTTACTACAGACGTAATGAGGGTGCTGTCCTTGAGGCCAGTTTTCTCTAGTTTTTTGATAATAATGCACTTTCATAAGAGACCAGGTACAGTCCAAAGAGTCTTAAAAAACACATTTTTTTATTTTACTGTTTACAGTAGCACATTTTATCAGCCGTTCCCCAGTGCAGCAGGTTCTCGTTATCAGGCTTCTGGCTCAGGCCGTCCTCCCCGTCGTGTCTTCATGCTTTCCCAGGCTTCTCCCATCGTGCTGAAATAACAGGACGTCAGGGTTAAACAGGCCTTTCTCGCAGTGAGGAATTAAGCTAGGTGCTTCTTTTGTTTTCCTACGGGCGTGTCCCATACCAGGTTTATTTATTAAAGCAAAAAAAAAAAAGAAGAAGAAGAAGAGTGGGCAGGATAGAGCATGGTCTCCCTTTGGCTTGGCGAGGTCTCTCGTGTGCCCCACTGAGTCTCATGATGTGAGACTAAGCTGGAAAAAGGTGGAAGATTGGGAGAATTCCTGGAAGTTGCGCAACGTGTAATAATGGTTCTCGTGTGTTGAATATTTCCCCTTCATTCTTTTAAAACTTTCTCACTGTCGGAGATAGAAGTGCAGCACGACTCGGGTGATTTTCCAGTAGCGTTTCTCTTCTTTCCTGCCAACACTTCTTTTAAATTTACCGTCTGAAACTAGGGCTGCCACGATTAATCAACGACTAATCGATTTRTTAAAATAATCGATGACTAATTTAATAATCGATTAATCGTTTTCTTTTTTTTTTGTTGTTCTTTACTTTGTTTTCTCTCCAAACTGCTTTGACACCTTCCACTGCCACATCTGCCTTTCTGTCCTTGACACACATGCACAGTAGTGGTAACTGGGGTAGGCCGTGGACGTCACAAAACATTATACAGACAGGCTCTGGTATCATGGCTACCTGACAACAGAGCTCAAAGTGTGGGATCATTTTAAGAAAATGAAAGAGAAACCTGTGTAATATCTGCAGAKCAGAACTTGCCTTCCACAGCAATTATATAATAGCAGCTGCATTCTGACGTGATAAGCTGTATGTTTTATATTCAATTAACGTATGATCTGATTAGTCGACTAATCAAATAAATAATCGGTGATTAATCGATTATAAAAATGATCATTTGTGGCAGCCCTATCTGAAACTATATGTGACCCATCACATCGAAATGAGGATTAAGTAAAATTGAGTCAAAATGACCTAATTATATTTTCAGATTCTTGGCTTTAAATGCTATATTCTGATATCTGGATCATCCTGATATCTTAAGTAAATCCATATATATGACTTAATTTGTCTTGTTGGTTACAATAATATATTAATATTTGGTCTGAATTGTAATTTTATGTCCTTTTAATGAGGAATTCTTGATGTCCTTATAAGAGGAAACCTCAAATTATATTTGAATATTGAGATTTCCCAGTTGAAAAGAAACAAAACTTTGCTAACTCACAGGGAATATCTCAAAAATTGAAGGCGTTTTTCCTCAAAATCAGTTTGTTTTGTTGCTACTCCTCATAAAAGTGCTTCAAAATTTTGTTTTATAATTACATTTCAGACAGTTCATTCAAATGATATATTGATAAGGCTTTTATTCATTATRTTTTGACAAAATGCAATTTTTGTTAACATTTTAGTCAAAACACTATATTTTGCCTTTGGACTTAATCTTCATTTCGATGTGTTGGGTCACATTGTATTGCAGAAATTACACATTTTGTTAAACCCTTGGTTTCCTTTTTTATATAACAAAAAAGGTCATAATCTTTGTAATTAATTCCAAATGCAGAGCTGTAAGATGTGTAAGCTTTGGCAGGTGCTGAATAGAGCTCTGTTTTGAGTTTTTCTTTGTATTTCCTCACAGGTCCTAATCTGCTGCTGCTGCTGGAAACACTGTGTGACCACACACCTGCCACTTCCTGCTCTGTGTACTCAAGTGACTCTCATCAAAGTGAACACACACACGTCAGAGGACCAATAACTTAGTACTTGACTTGTTTTCCCCCCAATCTGTCCACAACACTTCATCAGTCCTGAGTTAACTGTGTCGCAGGTGTTTTGTTTACACTCACCCACACACGTAAAGTATTTAAAACTCTTATCCCGGTCCTACGCCCACACTCAGTCACAGCCAACATGGCCAGCAAGCTGTCCAGCTTCGGCAAAACCCTGCTGCGCCGCCGGGCGTTAGACTGCTCCAACGAGGAGACCCAGTTCGCCCGCTGCTTGTCCACCCTGGACCTCATCGCCCTGGGCGTGGGCTCCACGCTGGGCGCCGGCGTCTACGTCCTCGCCGGCGAGGTGGCCCGGGAAAAGGCGGGACCGGCCATCGTCCTCTGCTTCCTCATCGCCGCTCTGTCCTCCATGCTGGCCGGTTTGTGCTACGCCGAGTTCGGCGCCCGCGTCCCCAAGACGGGGTCCGCGTACCTCTACAGCTACGTGACGGTTGGAGAAATCTGGGCCTTCATCACGGGATGGAACCTCATCCTCTCATACGTCATAGGTAAGCTCCGGTCTCTGTGGACTCACTGGAGATCAGCTTGAGCTAAAAAGTCCTCATCGATTTGCTTTTCCTTCCAGGTACGGCCAGTGTGGCCAGAGCTTGGAGCTCCACCTTTGACAACCTGGTTGAACAGAAGATCTCTGGCTTTTTTAAAGCCTCCATGGCCATGAAAGTACCAGGTGGGGTGCTGGCGGAGTACCCCGACCTGTTCGCTTTGACACTGGTCCTACTGCTAACT